GGTATGTATCATATCAAAGGTGAATCAGAACTATTCTCTGCATCACTGCCACCAGAGGGTAACAACCTTAACACATGTGCATACAAGACTGATGAACAGCAAAATTTCTCTCTGTTCTAACTCAAGATAGGAAAAAAATAATTAAAAAAAAGCATAATCTAGGAAAAACAGATGTGCTTGATATAAACACACAGTTGCTCGGTTCATCGTTTACATTCTAGGTTGTTACCTTGCAATAATTTCCTTTAACTGAAAGAGAGGATTATTAGAATTACATGGAACTAAAGCCATTTAGATTTTCTATAGTCTTGGCAAACTAATAAAGCCAAACCTACTCCATTTATGCAAGTCAAAACTATACAGTGTTTTAAATAAAGTGGTTTGGGGTTTTGTGGGTTTGTTTTTTCACTCGGCAAACAAATACACATCTATCACTAGTTCACAAAATTACCCACAATTGTTTCCAGAACCCTCTTGTGTCTTCTTCCTCTTTTTTATATACCAGTATATTCTTGAATGTCCTTAAAAGGCTTTTTAGTGTATTCTCTCTTTCTTACTAGCAGAAACAAAGTGACTTGAGACACCTAACTAGCTCAGCTAGAGCATCTGCAAATAGATGTGAGGAAGTGGCTAGTCATTTATAGAGTATTGCAAACTGTTACTCTTATGGACCAGGTTTCTAGCTTGATGTTATACACTCGGTGCAAAAAGGCTATGAAAGGGTGTTAGCCTGTGACCTGGAAATCCCCCCCCCCAGTAGGAGCATAATCTATGCGATTTAGTGTTAGTATCTTGGGCTTTAAGAGAGTACCTACCCTGCAGATTACAGCCTAGTGTTACAGGCAAGTGACAAAATGCCATCCAGCAGCAGCAGGGAGTTCAGTTTAGATTGACAGTCAGGGCAAATAAACTCACAGTTCATAGAGTCACCTCTGTTACAAATGGGCAAGACTCGAACAGAAGAGGGCAAAGCAGCACATGTTTTCTTTGCAAAAGTGGCTGCTTGTAGCTAAGTGAGGCCAGGTACCCTTCAGTAGCTTTTGACTTGTTCTGAGCAAAACAGTTAGAGAAGAGAGGTCATGAAGTCACCATATACTTGTGAAGATGATACTGGTCAGTCAGTCTTCCAGTCAGTCTTAGTGCAGGGTCAGTTAGACCAGGATCTCTAGTCCTGTATTTCCAGACTGTAAACATATCCTAGAGACAGAGCTACAGTATGAAACGCAACCCTTAAAAAAAAGCAAAAAAACCCCCACAAAAACATCCAATTGCATGTGAAACAGTACATCCACAGAAACATTAGCCTTTAAAAATAAAGAAAAGAAGAAAAACCTAACTTGAATTAAAAAGTTTTGTTTTTCTTCTTCTGTATGTTTCATTTTTTCTCCTTAGGCATCAACTGGAAATTCATTAATACTTATACAAACCAAACCATCTCAGCAGACATTTTCCCAGGACCTGCTTATGTAGGCCAGGGAGGCACTTTTACCAGGAATGGAGTTTTGTCCTCATGGTTCATATTATGTTTGCAGAGTTAATGGGAAAGGGATGAAACTAATTTCTTATATGAGCTTTTACTTCCACACACATGCAGTCTATAAACGCGGGAATCCAAACACACTTTCAACAGGGTTGAAGTACTCAGTGTAGGCTACACAGCTAACTTTCTAAACATACGATGCCACCGTGTGGACAAATAAGTCTCAAGCAGTTTCCACTTGAGCCTTGCTGAATTTGTGCTCACATTACATGAACATCCCATTCATTTCCTTAGGTTTTTCTTGCTATGTCCTGATCCTGCTGATACAAGCTGGGTTAACTTCCGTGGCTCTGTGATGACCATAACAAACCTGAAGCAGTACCCATTTATTCAAACATGACCATCTTGGAATTCTGGTCAATATGTTCCTAATTCTGAGCTGGCAACAAGAAGAATATTCTACAGGTTTTTATGAAGTTTTGCAGACCATGAAGATTTTAAAAAAAAAACAGATGTATTTTTGGAACTTAATTTTATCAGGATTTTTACTTGATGCAAAAGAGCAAAAAAAAATGGGAGCTCTGCCACGGCTAGTACAGATTATTTTCTTTCTTTTGTATGTATAAAGGAACATAGATGCTTTCTGTTGAAAACACACTGATCAGACTATTATTGAAAGTTAAATGCCAAAGCTGCTAACCTGTTCCATGGTATCTGGTTGCAGAAACGCAAACAACGCCAGCTTTGTGGGAATCTGCACATCTTGCCCCTGGCTGGACGGAGGCTTCACGCTGAGCTCTGGCTGCAAACAAACCAACCAGAGTTAGACGAAGCATGGACAGATGAGGCGTCACTGCTATGAAGGCAAAGGCTTAGACAGATTTCAGGAACCAAACCCTGTGCCTGAAAGTACAAGGGGAGTGCTGCTGAAGTAATGTAGCTGAGATGGAAAGCTGTTGATCTGAAAAAAGTGAGTTCTGGGGCCAGTTTTGCAACCACTGAGGCTATAATTTTTCTCAGACGTATTCATGTCGCTGACTGAAGGCCTGGCAGATCCCTAAGCACTGTCCCTGCAACACTGCGTTTGTCCCTCAGCCTTTGTACAGCCTTCAACAGCGTGATTTTGCCAGCCACGAGACAGAAGTTTAACCTATTCATTGAGAAGTTTTGTGTTTTCTCTCCACTCCCTATTGCCATGGAAATTCACCAGAGCCTGACTGTACACCTTGAAAATGACATATATGTGTCTGTATGTATATTACACACAGGCATGCACATCTTTTTTTTCTTCCCAAAAGCCAAGAGCTATTCCCAGCACAGATCAGGGCCAGCAACGCCTCCTCCCACAGACCCTTCTGGGATCTGCCCCGGTACTTCTTAAAACCTCTTCAGCACCGGGCACCCAAGCACTTTAGCTCTGACAGCGGCTGCCGGGCCTGGTCGCTCTGCCCCAGCTATAACTCTGAATTTTCACCTTCTTTTTGAACCACATTTTAGGGCTGGGGAGCAGGGCCGCCTCAGGGAGAAAGGGCCCCCCTCAGGGAGAAAGGGTCCTCTCAGGGAGAAAGGGACACCCTTCAGGGAGAAAGGGACACCCTTCAGGGAGAAAGGGCCCCCCTTCGGGGAGAAGGGCCCGCCACGGCCTCGCTCGACTCCGGAGCTCGCCGGCCGACACCTCCCTGCTTTCCCCAGCGGGCTCCGGGGCCAACAGCGCCCGGCCCT